TAATGATGTAATGTATGGGGATTAACATAAGAATAAAAAAAAAATACAAAAAAAAAAAAGAAGTTGGGATTCTACTGCAAGGTAGAACTTTCCATTCTCCCTTATTTATTTGTCTGTTATCATTAGACATATATGTATGTCTCTCTCTCTATAAATATATTTATTTATTCTAGAAATCGAAGAGTTCACACTGGTACTTTAAATTTTAGGTCATCATCAGTGACCCCTTATGTGGGAAACTTTACACTACTTTCATGTAAAAAAGTAATTTAACCTTTACCGTTAAAATGTCTTGCAAAACCCAGAAAGCATCCATCATAAATGCAAGATACTTTCAATAAAAAGAAAATTACACAGTAGGTGGCAAAAAAAATTTTAGGTCATCTAAGATGTATTTTTAAGTAGGGATAAAAGCAAAGGGAAAGTAGTATGGATAGTATACTCCCATTTGAATAAAATGTATGTGATTGTGTATGATAGCTCACCTTGGGAAGGCTGTGTAAGACTCAAGAAACTGGTTGAAGTGGTTGCCTCCCAGATATAGAACTGGAGGTCTGGGGGTATGGGTGAGAGGGAAAATAAGAGTGGGAAAAGAAATAGAAAAATCTCTTATCTGAGATCGTCAGTTTTCATTGAGATGGATGAAATATTTTCTCAGAGCAATTTCAATTAAAGCGAGGTTTTTCATTTGTTTTGAACAGATAAGGTGTATGTGATAATAAACGCAAACAGAAAGAGTGTAGCTAAATTGAAAATAGTATTCCTCTCACCCATACCCCCAGACTTTTTTTTTTAATGTTAATCTTCTGGAGGTAATGTGTCTTTTTTTTCACTGGTTGCTTTTAAGGGTTTCTTTTTTTTTTTTTTTTTAAGATTTTAAAAAAAATTTATTGGGGTGGAGGGGAGAAAAATAAATAAATAAATAAATAAATTTATTTATTTGACAGAAAGATAGAGAGCACAAGTAGGCAGAGCGGCAGGCAGAGGGAAAGGGAGAAGCAGGCTCTCTGTTGAGCAGGGAGCCCGATGCGGGACTTGATCCCAGAATCCTGGGATCATGACCTGAGCCGAAGACAGACGCTTAACAAGTTTGCATTCCCACATCCTTGCCAACACCTGTTTCTTGTGTTGTTCACTTTTGCCTTTGTTTCCCTTGCCTCCTGCAATGTGTCTGGTAAGAAGTTGTTACAGCTGAGGTCAAAGAGGTTTCTGCCTGTTTTCTCCTCTAGGATTTTGATGGATTCCTGTTTCACATTTAGGTCTTTCATCCATTTGAGGTTATTTTTGTATATGGTGTAAGAAAGTGGTCCAGTTTCATTCTTCTGCATGTGGCTGTCCAATTCTCCCAGCACCATTTGTTGGACAGACTCTTTTCTGTTGGATATTCTTTCCTGCTTTGTTGAAGATTAGTTGACATAGAGTTGAGGGTCCATTTCTGGCTTCTCTGTTCTGTTCCATTGATCTGTGTATCTGTCTTTGTGCCAGTACCATACTGTCTTGATGATTACAACTTTGTAACAGAGCTTGAACATAGTACTAGAAGTCCTAGCCTCAGCCATCAGACAACAAAAAGAAATAAAAGGCATCCAAATTGGCAAAGAAGAAGTCAAACTCACTCTTTGCAGATGACATGATACTCTATGTGGAAAACCCAAAAGACTCCACCCGCAAATAGCTAGATCTCATACAGGAATTCAGCAAAATGACAGGATATAAAATCAATGCACAAAAATCGGTGGCATTTCTATACACTAACAATGAGACAGAAGAAAGAGAAATTAAGGAATCGATTGCATTACAAT